TGGTTAAGGAAGACACTTGGCTCGGTGTTTTTCCAATGGGTAAGGGTCCCCCTACAAGGAGCCTTGGTGATCCAGTGATTAAATCACTTGGCTACTAACCAAAAGGGCAGCCATTCATACCCACTACCTGCTACATGAGATTAGGATGAGGCAGTCTGCTTCTATCACGATTACAGCCTTGGAAACCCCACGAGGCAGTTCTACTCTGTCCTACAAAGCCACTAAAGAGTCAGAATCTGACGCCACGGAAATGGGTTCTTGGAAGTCTCCAACAAAAACACAAGTGTTACTTCACCACTTCCTACGTGTGCACCAATTTAAAACACCTCTCATGTTGATATTAAGTGCCAGTGTGGCGTTTACAACTCATAGCGACCTTCTATAGGGTTTCTGAAGAGCAACTGGTGGATTTGAACCACTGACCTTGTGGTACAATGCTTTATCCTCCAGCGCCACACCAGGACTCATATATAAGAGAGCAAAAATACGTATATACACATTCCTCCCTTTTTCATGCAGAAAGACTGTCCTGGGTGGATAAGATTTTCCCTGGAATTAAAGAGCAAGTAGAAGGAAGCCGGAGCTCTTTGGCTCTATTTTTGTGGAATACATTAACCCTGATTTTTAGGTTTGTTTTGAACCAGACATATTTGTTTAGAGTTTTCTCAACAGGTTATGCAAGGGCAGTCACCTGAGAAACACTTTTTAAAAAGACAATCCTCCAGGTGTTGAATTCTGATCCTGGAGCTGAAGCGGAAGGCACAAAGCCCCCAGGGCAGGAAATTTGGCCCAAGTCTTCAGCAGCCCAACCTTTATCCTCATCACCGGACTCTGCTCAGTCTCTGCACCTGCCAGGCATCCACTGTGTACACCTGCAACAATCCCCTTTCCCCTTGGGTAGGCCCCATGGGAGTGATTTAAATAAAAAACGTTTCTAAAAACAAAAAATCCCCTATCTTATTTATGTTTTTTCACATTTCTCCCATGAATTAATGGTCAAGGGAGTTTGACATTTGTTATTCAGGAAACATACAGGTTTTGGCAAAACCATGGTAGCCTTTATAGGGATGCTGAGAGCATTAATTATGTTTTCCTTAACTTTGTGCATAGTGTGTATTGTTGTTGTTAAGTGTCGTCAAGTTGGATCCAATTCATAGTAACGCCACATAAGGTTTCCAAAGCTGTGGTTTTCTGCAACATGTGTATGTATAGGTATCTGTACAAGGAGTCTTCAAAAAGTGTGTGGAAAAATTCCATTATCTTTTAATTCTACCAACTGCTCTTTGGAAACTCTATATAGGGTTGCTATGCATCAGAACTAACTCAACAGCACTTCACAACATGCTGAAGACCTGGAGTTTGATTCCCAGTCAATGCACCTCATACAAAGCTACTGCTCACCTGTTGTTAAGTGCCATAGAGTTGGTTCCGACCCATAACGAACCTGTATAGGGTTTCTGAGGAGTGGCTGATAAGCTCAAACCACCAACCTTGCAGTTCAAATGGCTTTGCAGTCTGGCAAATTAACTCACAGAGCCACACATCAGTCAGTAGAGGCTTGTATATAGCAAATTTCAGTGGAGCTTCCAGACCAAGAAAGATTAGGGAGAAAGTTCTGGTTATTCATTTCTGAAAAATAGCCAATGAAAACCAATGGATTATATATACCTTCCCAATCTGCAATTTATGACTGACTAGCGATGGCCAGGATTGAGCAGCATTTTGATCTATAAATTATGGAATGAGTCAGGGGTGACTTCACAGTTAACAACAGCATGTGTGTGAACATCTCAAGCTTACAAGCCAATCTATAAAATGTTTAAACTATCATCGGGGAATGAAAATATCAAAAAGTTTACCTGTAACTCAGAAGCTAGGCAACTGCAAGGACAGTGTCCCAGTCCCATAAGCACACATTATTGAGGGCACTACCCAGTCTGGCAGGACTGCTGGAGGGTGCTGGAGATCTGAAATGGGGAGGTCTGAGTTCAAGCCTTGCTACTTTTTGGTCACAGATGCAGTTGGGGCGTCTCTGACAAGACACAGGGGCAGTGTTATCGGGACAGCAAGTACAACTCCAAGGCAGTTGAAGAATTCAGGTTATCCAATTCTGCTTTGCTTTAAGGCTAACAGCAGGTTGGGACCCATGGAGAAGAACCCTTCCCTCCCTCTGTTTCTATCACCAGAACTTTTGACATCACTCCTCAAATAGGCATCTTATGGTCAGCATTTCTCAGCCTCATCTAAGGCACAGATACATCAGAAATTGTCTCAGCTGCATGTGGAAATGGTGCTTCCCAGCCCTATGGCAGGCATCTAAATCCAATCAGAGATTCTGGAAATCTTCCTTTTTAACAAACACTGAAGCTCACTCCACCAGGTTTTTAGAGATTCTGTTAACACCCATGAATGAGGGAGCAGTGTTGGGCTTGCCCTGTCGTTTACTAGAGAGACCGCTGCCAGGTGACGTTCTCAGACTCAAGTGAAACCTCCAGGGAATCTGGTTTAGATAAGGTTAGAAACAGTCACACACAGAAACATTAAACAAGTCAGGGTTTTATTTACATAATAGGGCAAGAAATACAACAGCCTCATGGTCAAATATGAAAAGAAAAAGCATCAAATTTAATTCTCAGCAGGGTGTTGGTCTTGATTAAAAACAAACAAACAAAGAGAATGAAAAGGCGATCTGAAATGTTTGGAGTTCAAAATGGTGAGCCCGCTGACTGCAGGAAGCCAGAAGATCAAGGAAGCCCTGTTGTTGGGGAGAAATTTCTGAATTGAGTGCCAATCCATACACAAGGACATCCTTGGAGAGGATTTGAGGTTTGAAATTTCTGGGTTTATTCTTAACCAGACTTCTAAGAAATTTGGGAACAAATGTGCTTGGCACCTCTTTTTCCATAGGAAGTCTAGATGGGCTTCTTTGGTGTTCATCAGCAGCACAGGTTTATGGACAAAAAGCCATCTTCCAAATACAGCAAAGGCAAGTTCCTGGGTGGTGATTAAAGCACTCAGGTGCAAACTAAAAGGTTGGAGGTTTGAGTCCACTCAGAGGAAAGGCCTGGGAAATCTATTTCCAAAAAATCAGACTTTGGTGCACAGCTCTACTCTGATGCGCACAAGGTCACCATGAATTGTCAGCTGGTTTCACCGATTAATTTCCTGCATCCAGCTGGCATCTCAAGCACTGACTCTCCTTCGTATTAACCATGCTATTGTTTGTCTTGCACTCATGTCTCTTCGGTGTTGCCAAGCAAGCTATAATTAATTACATGTGTGAAAATGGGCCATCTCAACTTCCATCATTTGTGCTTAAACAAGATTATTTCTTTCCCTCACAAATATTAATGCTGCAGAAATTGGGTCCAAATTCATCTTCCACGTGAGCCTGCAGAAAGTGGAGCTGAGTTTAGTTTCACAGCAACATTATACCTTTCCTCTGTCTGTCATCTCACTTCCTCCATATCCCAGACACCTGATCTGTATCACAAGAGACTTGAGGCTCCCACTTGCATGCCCAGGAAACCTCCTGGGACAACTGGTATGTGTTGCTGCCTCACCTGTAGACTGAATAGCAAACACCACTCTGGATTTGGAATAGTGTGGAAGCAAAGCACAACAGTTGTCCTTTTGTGGGTGTTTACAGTTCCTCTTTCCTTCATCTCTCTAACAACCAATGGCAGTCCACACATCATCCTCCATAGATGTCCCATCCCAACTTTGAATCCAGGTAAGAGGAGCCCAAACTGGGCAGTGTAAAAGAAAGGAGGCTACAAAGACAGCCAATTGGAGTCCATGGGCCTCAGGGCAATTCGGAGCCTCAGTCCTCACTCCTCTGGCACCCAGCCGCCCCTCGGTATGTCTAGAGCTGAGGTTGCTAATCCAGATCCAGTTCCTGTACTTCCATTTCTCTTTCCAACATCTTTCTTAGCTTGTGTCTACTTCCTTATCACCTGTCTTCTACTTCCTGGTTCCTTCTCTAATTCACACACTTTCTCTTGCAGGCATTGCATTTTGTTCTCTCCATCCCAAGCCAAACCACCCCAAGTCAGCTTGGCCTAGGGAGACACTGAACAGCTGTCAGGAGTGGGCTAACATTGTTAGTCAGAAGGCCATGGCCTCAGCCATAGTGGGCACTGAGGTTGGTGCCAGTGAGTCTGTCCAGCCTCAAACATGTGTCCTGAGCTGGGCAGGGTCTAACAGCCCTCAGGATCAGACTCTCAGACACCCAGTGGGTATCTGAACATGCTGGCTCTCCTGCCCTCGTTGCCAGCTGCAGTCACGTCAAAGCAGATGAAAAATGACAAGCTCTTATCTTGAACACACCCGTCAACAATTTTCAAAGCATCAATGTCTTCCCCAAGACTTTTTTTTCTTTCCTCCTTCTTCTCAAGCTTCTGGTGGTGTAGGGGAGGAGGAGGGCGAATAACTTCAGACACCAGCAGCTCCTTAGCTGCCCACAAACCACAGCAGCCAAAAGCTCGGTGTAACCAGCTTTGCAAAGTACTGTCAAGCACAGCATACAAGGAGACTTCAGACATTCATGGGAAAATGGAATGAAAAGATAATGGAAGTTTCCACCAACTTTTTGAACTTCAACCTGTGACTAATCCAGAATAGACCAATTTATCTGAATCCACTTCAAAATCCACTGTTTCCCTCTTAATCACTACTCCACACACCCACCCACACTGCTCTCATTTGACAAGAATTTTTCTCTACCCAACCCGTTCCATCTTCATGGGGAGGATCAGACTTATTAGCAAATTAACTCCAAACTCACACCTACTAGTGGGCTCATTCTCTGGGGACTGGTACAAGAAAAATTCACTCAGCATGAATGACTTAGTCCTAACACTCATGCAATTCATCAAAGAAAGACATTTTTTTCTTCCAAGTATTTTTGTGGGGTCAAGTCTAAAATGTTCTTGGATTCACCGATTGCCAGAGCAGAGGCTTTCCATTCATTCTTGGGGCACCAGCTCCAGCAGCTCCCACTAGCGGACAAAGGACACCACGCTGGTGGCTACTCCAAATGGGGCGGAGTAGGCGGCAGCGAATCCTTGGAGACCGATGACCAAGTAGCGGCAGCCTTTGGTGATGACTTTCCCGACATTCTATTTTTAGGAAAAAAAGAGAACAAGCGAAGGTTAGGTGATGGTGGTTGCTGTTAAGTGCTGTCGAGCCAGGTCTGACCCATAGTGATTCTGTATAGGGTTTCCAAGGAGCAGCCGGTGGTTTTGAACTGCCGACCTTTGGTTCACAGACCAGTGCTTATCTTACAGTGCCACACCAAGTTAGGTTGGGCAACTTTTTAATTCCTCAAGTTTGATAACCAGATACATAAAGAAGGATTATGCTTCATCCTCCAAGACAGAATTACTGTGTTTCCACATCTCTGGTGTCCCTTGGTCACCAACAAAAGAATAAGCAGCTAGGGGACATGGTGAGGGGTCTCAGAACACACACCATTTTTGCAAACTACTGTCAAACACAGCATACAAGGAGGCTCCAAAAATTGGTGGAAAAATGGAATAAAAAGATAATGGAATTTTCCACAAACATTTTGAACTTCCCTTGTGTTTTCAGATCCTTTAGAGAACAGCTCAGGACCAGTAATGAGGCTGTTTTAACACCAAAGCCATTTTTCTTTTTATAAAACAGCATCCCTCTTCTAGCTAAAAGTGATTGGATTGCCTGGGACCGGTGGAGGTTTTTTTCATTCACTTCTCTGAAAGTCCAGTCAGCTCCCCACACTCCAGACTGACCTACACACTTGTCTTGTTAGTCCTCTGCTGCTCTCTCATTGTTGCATCCCTAGAGGTCTTGTGTTTCCAAGACAATTATAAACTCTTTAAGAGGCTAAGGACAGGCCCGTGCTTTCTTGGTTTCTACTTCTTCCCCTCTTGCTCCACTAGGGCTGCTGCGAGACAGAGGATATACAAGGAACTACAACAGGCAAATGAGACACCCCCAGTAACTAACATGTACTGACCGCCTGGTCTTATTCTTTCCACCCCTAAATGATGTCATCATTCTCAGTTACGTCATATCCACATAAATTCCTTGGGCCTTAGCTCACATGCCTATCTTAGTTCTTGACCTTTCCAATTACAATAACCAGTTTCCCTCAAAATTCCCAAATACAGTCACTAATTTTACTTTGGCTTCTATCACTGCCTGGCAAACTCACTCTCTCTGTTTCTAGGAGGCTGACTTTCCCTCTCTCCCAGCTGATTTTTTTTTTCATCCCTCAACACAGACAATTCACACTCATAGCCTCCATGCCTTCATTTTTCATGGAAAAACTCATAAGTTCTCAGAGAATGCCTTCATCTTCCTTAACAAAGTCTATAAACCTGCCTGCACCTGCTCCTGGCTTCTCCTACCTCATCTTATGTTCCAACAGAGAAAATAGCCACCTTCCCAATGTTACTCCCATGACACTTGCTATCGATACTGTCTCTGATTTTGGCATTCACCTTCTCCTTCCAGAGTCATCACTCTCTTCCTCTCCATTAGATCATTACCATTTGCTTACACATATCCTCATATCCTTGACTCATAGTCTTCTCTAGTGTGTACCCCAGGTGTCTTAGGCCCTCTTCTTGTCTTTTGCTTATAATCTCTCCTTGTTGTTGTTGTCAG